TGCACTTAACTAAATCTATCATAGAATGCTTTAATAGTATAGTTCATAGGGAGTTGCACTGCTACCAGAAAGGAGATGCCTCTGGCAATTCTAATCCACCAGCAGCTCTGCAGGGGAAGGATGAAGTTAAGTAATCTCTTCCTGTGCTATTTATAGCCTCTGGAAACTCACTGAGTTAGTTCCAAAATTATAACAATGAGTCTTGCTTTTATGGGTTTAGTTTAACACTCACTGTATTGAATATACCATGGAAGGCTAAGAAAATGAACAGGTTCACCCTGGAGAGGGTTAAACCAGGCCGCTCCTTAGAGGCAAAGATTCTGAAGTTTCGTCTGACATACTTTGGACATGTTGAAAGGAGGGCCCAGTCCTTGGAGAAGGACGTCATGCTAGGGAGGGTGGAGGGACAGCACAGGAGAGGAAGACCCTCTATGAGGTTAGTCGATTCATTCACTGGGGTAACGGGGATAGGTGTGTTGGAGACAGTAAGATTGTCACAGGATAGAGCAGGGTTTAGGGCTGTTGTACACAGGGTCTCTGTAAGTCACAGGTGACTCGATGGCACATAACAACAACAACATATGCTACCGGACTCTCGGGAACTCTACTGTCAAAACAAAGACACATAGTTTAAATCAACCAACTGAACTGCGGAAGATAGGCAATCTGTTCTCATGCAATTTAATGCCTCTGAAAATCCACTGGAAGGTCAGATGTGAGTCAGTTCCAACTCTACAGCAGATGACAAACAACAAACAGACTCTAGGCTAAGTTGCATTTCAGGCCTTTACAACTGCAATCAATCTAACAGTCTTCACAATAATAGTCATTAAAAATTGCACCAACTTCAAGACATTAAAACACACTCTGCCTTTTCATTTAGACAACTTACAGGTTTAATTGTGAACAGTTTTCTTGTAAAGAACTGAACTCTAAATTCTAAACAGTATATTCTAAATTTACTGTATCCTTAATTTTATCAGTTTAAAGGCTAAGGTGTGTTTGATCCAAGATAGGGTCTTTTTAATAATCTGCTATGCATCCCAAAGTTGGGCAATGACTAAGGATGACAGAAAACTTGATGTCTTTGAGTTGTGATGTTAGAAAAAAGCACTGAATAGACCATGGACTGCCAAGAGAACAAACAGGTCTGTCCCGGAGAAACTGAAATCAGGGTGCTCCTTGGAGGCAAGGATGTTTCACCATCCATATCCTTTGAGCATGCTATTAAGAGGGGCCAACCCGTGCAGAACATCATGCTTGGAAAGGTGGAGGGTCAGCTAAAGAGGAAAACTCCAAAGAAGATGGATTGACAAAATAAGTGTAAAAGTGGGCTCAAATGTGCCAGAGATGGTGAGGATGGCACATGAGAGGACGGGGCTCAAATCTAGTTTTCATTAGCTGCACACCCCAGTGTATTAGACAGACCAACAAAAACAATACCGAATATGTTGTTGTTGTTGTTATGTGCCGTCGAGTCGCCTGCGACTCATAGCG